TTTGGTCCCGGCCCAAAGCATGGTGTACCTGGGCTATGAGCTGGATTCCACCCTTCAGAAAACCTTTCTACTCCAGGAGAAAAATCCTAAAGTTGGACAAGGGAATCAGGCTCCTGTTAATGAACCAGGCTGTGTCCCTAAGAGAGTCTATGTTGGGCCTGCTAACCTCGTCCATCCCGGTGGTACAATGGGCAGGTTTGTCTTTGAGGCCCCTCCAGCTGTTCATTCTGGATGTCTGGAATCGCCGGCAGGAGTCTTTGGACTACTTGGTACAGGTACTTCCCTGGGTGAAGGGGACCCTCTGATGGTGGAGGATGTCAGCAAGTTTGCTCAAGGGCTGTTATGGGTCTTACCGATCTCCGGTGAAGTTGCAACAGACACGAGTGCCAGAGGTTGGGGAGCACACATAGAGGGGTCTGTGGCCCAAGGTTCTTGGTTACCAGAAGAGAGGGGCTGATCCTCGAACTGGAAAGAACTCAAGGCCATATCGTGGGCCCTTGTGGCCTTCCATGAGCAGCTACGGGGACAACACGTGCGAACCTCTTGGACAACTCCACTGTCGTGGTGTATGTCAACAGACAGGGAGGGACTCGAAGCAAAACTCTGTGGTCCCTGGCCTTGGAACTGCTCACCTGGGTTGAGACCAATGTAGCCTCCCTATCCGCCGTCCAGCTGAAGGGGGATTTGAACCAAGTAGCAGACTTCCTCAGCGGAAGGCAGGCGAGGGAATCAGAATGGGTGCTTAGTCGCGAAATCTACCAAGCCATCATAGGAGAGTGGGGGTCTCCATCCATAGACCTTTTCGTGTCAGGCTAGAATACCAAAGTCCCAGTTTTCTTCTTCCTAAACCGTTGGGACGGGGCGTTGTCAGTGAATGCATTAGCACAACGGTGGGACTTTCCCCATGTTACGCTTTCCCCCCAGTCTCCTTATTGCCAGCAGTTCTGAGGAAATTCGGATCTGAACAAACTTGCCTGATCCTGATAGCCCCGCACAGGCCCAGACGGGCTTGGTTTTCGGCCCTGGCCGCGTACCCTCCTTGGATATTGCCGTGCCGAGAGGACCTGCTTTTTCAGGGTCCAGTCCTTTGTTCCCTGGTTTTTGATGAGCAACTGCTGAGGAGCAAGGGGTTTCAGCTAGGGTAGTATCCACCTTCCTAAATAGTAGAAAAGAGGAGTCTGGTTCAATCCACCTTAAGGTCTGGAAGCTCTTTAACAGATGGTGTGCCCAGACTCGGAAACATATATAGCTTAATTTCAGTCCTGGAATTCTTGCAGATGGGGCAAGACAGGAGTCTATCGGTGAGTATGCTGAAAGGCCAAGCGTGGCTCTTAGCGTATTCCTAGAGTCTCCCGTAGCCAGGGATGAGCTGGTGTGGCAAGATTCTTTAAGGCCTTGACCAGACAAAAGCCAGTAAGTGGCCCTTTTCCAAAGTGGAACCTGACGACTGGATTCAAGTTCCCTCAAAATCCTGACCCTTAAGACAGTATTCCTGGTAGCGGTTACTACAGCGAGGAGAGTAAATGAGTTGGAAGCCCTATCAGATTTTTGTGGATAGGGTAATGTTTAGGACGGCCCAGCCTTCTTTCCCAAGATAGTCTTGAGATTTCATGGAAGCCAAGAAATTACTTTACCTTCATTTTGTTCTAACCTCTCGTGTGACCAAGAAGGGAAATTTCACTCGTTGGATGTTAGAAGATGCGTTCTTCTTTATTTAGATAGAACTAAGGGGATCAGGAAATCAGATTCCTGTTTTGTATCATTTTGCAGGAGCAAGGAAGGATTGTAAAGCTTCTAGGCACACCTTAGCTAGGTGGCTGAGACTGGCAATTAGACAGGCTTATCTGACCGATGGTCTGGAATTCCCGGAGGGCATTGTGGCGCATTCCACCCGGGCCATGGCGGCCATGTACGCTAAGCTGGCTGGTGCAACCCCAGGACAGATTTTTATAGGCCTGCCACCTGGTCCAATTATAACACCTTCATTAACCATTACAGACTTGACCTGGTCTCGGTGGATGAGCAGGCCTTTGGATGCAAGGTTCTGCAAGCAGTGGTCCCGCCCTAGGGGTGAGTGCTCGCGTATCATCTCAAGGTGTTGTCCTGAAAGACGGAGAGGGGGAAAAAGCAAAGTTACACTTAAGGTAGCGCCTTTTCCAGGGGTCTTTTAGAACAGCGCCAGTTACGCACCCTTTTTAGCATTTGGTTATAAGGTATGTTTTTTTTTGTGTCTTGTATTGTGTCTCCCCAGGTGACCAGAGGTGCTAAGTCATGAACTGAGGTCTGTGTGGGGAGGCCGCTCTTTTTTTTTATTCTGGGTGGAGGTGTTTCCTCAGGTGGGGAGAAGCTGAAGTCTCTCAAGGTGCTGTCCTGAAAGACTCCTGGAAAAGGTGTTACCATAAGTGTAACTTTGCTTTTTTTTTTTTTCTTCAGGGGGATGGGGGAGGGTCAGCAAATAAAGGGAACCTTGTGTTTTCATGTACGTTCTGCCTCTCCAAAATCAGAATAACAGCCTGTTTTTTAGGTGGAACATGTGACTTGCAGCCGCTCCCTGATCCCTCTTCCCTGTGACAGTGGGTCGGGGTTCTTCTCTGCTTCGCCCAAAAGGCCACCCCATTCGTTCAAGGAGTTTTGTGAATCAATGAACTACAAGTACTGACAGCCTTTGCGGCTGATGGCTTATAGTTCTAAATCAACTACCAGGGCACTGGTGAGCACTCTAGGTAGTCCATTGATTCTTTTTGTCATTGTGTAAATGCCTATTCGTACAAAGTATGGGCAGAAAGCTACACTGACAGTCTGCAGCAGCCCTGCATCGCACCTGTGATCTGCTGATTGCTGGTGCAATACTTTCCAGGCTCCTACAAAAAAAATAGTACCTGCAAAAAAATGTGCAATTTATTTATTAAAAGTTATCCTTTAACATGTCAGTAGAAGTAGCTTCCAAGTATTGCATCTCTTACCATTCCTTAGGTGTGGCGGCTGCTAACAACACGCTTCCTGGCCAAAGATGATGGTGCTGTTTTTCCATCGATATAGTATAAAGAGTGAGTGTCGCAGGCAGAGGAAGTGCTGTGGATCGCTTTGGAAACCTGTTACTGGAGTGGAGGAAGGTTAACCCTCCTCTCGGACAATTTGTGAGCATACTGAGTGGTGGTGTTTGTTCCCCTGGCTGGAGCTCCACCCAAAGAAGGAAGTTCCTCCTTAAAAAGCCCCCCCCCCCCCCGCCTAACTTGAAATGTCACTTTGGAGGGGGGGGGGGGGAGGGGGTACCTAGTTTTGACATTGCCTAGGTTATCCAAGCAAACGTTTTCCACTTCCCTGCACTCCCCCTCTCCGCAGTCTTCTGGGACACATGACAGGTCCGAGGAGATTGGGCGAGCATTCACAAAGCGCAGCATGGCTCGTTCATGCGCAGTGGGCACCCGGCTGTGTAGCTGAAAAATGCACAGGGCGCTGACACAAGGAACCCAGAGGCTAGTGAAGAACTAGCCCGGATGAGGACGGCCCTGGATCCTGAGACAGGTAAGTGTCCATTTATTAAATGTCAGCAGCTGTAGGATTTGTGGCTGCTGAACCTCCGCTTTAATTACTGCAAAGTCATTATACTTGGCTTTCATAATTTTCTATGGTTCTTTGCTTTTTTTTTTTTTTTTTTGCATCCCTTGTATTTGTTTGCTGTGAGGTGGACTTGGGCGGAGATCTTCACTTCCATTGACTTTCATCCATTTTGTGTTATAAATCAGCTAAAATCCCTGAAGAAGACTCTTTGGAGTTGAAACGCGTTTGAATTTGTATGCTTGCATTTAAACAGCATTGTAACGGATCCGGAACCCAGACCGCACTGAGTTTTTTTTTCCGTTATACCACAGCTTCCCCTGTCCGAACACCATCCATGGACCACAACCTTGAAATCCCTCAGGAAATAGACAGCACACAACTCTTCTTAAACAGGAAGCCAACTCTTTATTTTAACACAAAACACAGGATATATACAGAGGGCGGGGAAACACAACCAGGAACAGGAAATACATCATCAGCCCGCCCCATCAGTGGGAGGCTGCAGGAAACACCTCATCACCCCTCCCCATCCAACCAAGACACAGAACAATGGGATGAAGCACATGGCATAGAACAATAGGCAACCACATGGCAGGGACAATACAGGGACACATGCATCCCATAATAGTTGGCTGGACAGGAAGACACAGCACAATGGGGGGTAGCACATGGCAAACAAACAATGGACAGCCACATAGCTGAGAACAAAGACAAAGGACAACACACAAATGCACAATACTGGGACATTCACACCCTGTACCCCTAAACAGGCACAGGGTGGGTTAAACATAATGATTTGGGAAGATGATACAGAGGTCCACCCATCCACAAAAGTCACTCCCGTCACAAGCATCATTGCATACATGGGGGCATTTGTTATGATGGCCATGTCTATTTTTTGGAATCTAATTGTATTATATGATTTGTCCTTGATTTTAATCTTTTTGTAGAAATAAAAGTAAGATATTTTTTATTTTAATTGTTCGGTGGTTTAAAAATCACATCCAAGGTTCAAGTTTTATTTGTGTTAGGAAGTGCTATGACTACAGAATACTTTCCCTTCTCTTCATTCCAAAAACATGGGAAGCCGTGTTCTGTAGTTCAGTTAGAGCTGGGAACAATGCTAACTATCAACACTTGACTTCTGCCAGTATCAAGTTATTTTGCATGTATTGGGCAGATGTAACAAACACTTTCAGTGGTGTATATAACCGACCAAAAGGGAGTAAATAAGAAAAGTGCATTTTCAGGGTTTACATTTATTTTAAGTTGAATTTGCTGACTCCTAGCATCATGGTTTGTGGGCTGTCAGGGCACATAGTAGAGATTCTTACTCAAACTAGAGGTAATAGTAGGCCCATTGTTTGCTTTTGTCCTTAAATTTGTTTCCCCAGGATGTTTTTTTATATCCCTTTTTTTTTTTTTTTCTATTTCCAGATATGACTCGTTCAAAGCAGGTTGGGAATCACAAAAATGATAAAAAGAAAAATATTGCTAAGAATTGGAAAACCAAAAGAAGGGTTAAGGATTTAGATCAAATACATGAAGACATGCGTCCTGAGAATGCAGGTCGTTTATTAAACCAGGAAATTGATTATGATGTTCCTGGAAATGCTCAGCACTATTGTCTACATTGCGCGTAAGTATTTTGGAGTAAATTGATACTCATAGGTAGGAATGAGTAAAAAGTGTTTGACAAACTTTTTGTCTTAATTGGAGAACAGCCAATCAGCTTTTAAATCGCCATTTCTCAGCTGTGTGGAAAAAATTAAAGAAATGGATTCCTTCCTGTGCTAGTTATAAATTGATCTGGGTGGTTCTCATTGTTTTGTTACATTTGGTGCAGAAACCCACAGCTGCCTTGAGCAATATTAGTAAACTGATGAGTTTTTTCACTTTTAGGGCCAGTTCACACTACATGTGTTTTCAGTTGCTTTTTTTCTGCATCCAAAATGCACAGAAAGTAGGTTATATTGTTGTCAATGTCACAGTTCACATCAGTGCTTGCAGTTCCAGTACGTTCCGGGTGCATAAAAAAAAGTAGAACAGGATGCATTTTTCCTGCATAGAACTGTACTGGAACGTGGAAAAAACGCACCGGAACACACTGGAATTCACGTGTTTCTATTTAAATTGAAGGAAAAGAGAGGGGGAAAATGTAACTGGAATGCATAAATAACGCACTGGAACGCGCCAATACACACATGCGGAAACACTTCCAGAACAAATCTGGACTGCGTTTCTGTAGTGTTAACTGACCCTTAGTCCTCGTTCGCACAGTGCGTTTCCTTTTCTCCTCTAAAATGGCGCAAGCAGCTTGCTATAGGGGCACTGAGCTGCTGCATTGTGTGTCCATTTACACATAGAGCCACAGCTTGGCCCCTACCTTTCCTCATTGGCTCACTGGCTGTGATTGACAGCAACGGGAGCCAATGGCTCTCACTGCTGTCTCAGGCAATGTGGTGGCAGGGTCCGGGAAAGCCGAGGCTGTCGTACACATCACTGGATCCTGATGGGGCTAAGGCAAGTATTAGGGAGGGCTGGGGGGCTGCTGCACACAGAAGGTTTTTGTACCTTCATGCATAGAATGAATGCACATCCATTCATTGGGAAGATCACTGTGCTGCTGTTTTTCCCCAGCTCTTTATGCAGATGAGAACAGAGGGAATGTGATCACTCCTAATAAGGAAGGGGGGGAGGTATTTATAAGGTTTTTATATATCTATACACAAAAAGTTTTTGCCTTTTTTCATTTCTATTTTAAACTAAATGAATTACAAGGTGAGGGTTGACATACTTTTACATTGAGAGGGTAAAGTTCAGCTTTGAGGAGGAAGGAGCTACCTTCAAGACATATCTGCATTCAGTTCATTATACACAGTATATGCTAAAACTATGTCCCACAGTTTTATGTTATGGACCACACTGTGATGCTGAAGCGTGACTTCTCATGTATTTGCAAATGTATCCAACAAAATCTGCCTGTTTTAACCTCAAATGTTGGAAATGTTAGAAATGTATTGCTGATTAGCTGGATTGTGTGATTGGAAATTCTTGTATTTTTTAGAAAATGTTGAAGCCAGAGAGAACGCATACCAATCAGATATGTCCTCTTTTTTTAAGTGGGGGTTTGCAATGGGAGCTGCCCCCTTTCACTTATGATGGGTTCACGTTAAAGTAGATAGCTATAAAACACCAGTTACTAAGAAACATATTTTTAAGTGTTGCTAGTGTAGCTTCCCGCATTTTTTTTTTTTTTTTTTCACATCAGTCTCCTGAAATCCCCTGTATAGCAGTTCTGCAAATAGGAAGAAGAGCCCTAGGAGCCATTCGGGCTCTTGAGGGGAGCACAAATGCTGGCAGTGAACATGCTAAGAAGAGGAGATTGCTGACCTAGCAGGGTAATCGTTCATCAGTGTGCTGCTGCTACTTCACACTGAATGTTCAGTCTGCAGGCTGGTGGTGCGTTCGGCCCGGAACTTGTGTGATTACTGATAATGGAGCTCAGAAATGGTTGTTTGACCAGTAATGCTATTACACTGATATGCTTACATATAGTTTGTACATTTAGAAGTGTTTCCAAGCGTTTTGGGCATGAAGGGCGTGAGGGCTGTTTTTATAATTTGTGAGTCATTAGACAACTGTTTTTTTAGGTTTGAACTTGGCTTGCTTACCAACTGTTCTGAGACAGATTTATTCTGCATAGTTGTGTGATATCAATACTGCTTGCTTTTCAGTAGTATCTTTATCTTCCATCTTCAAACATTAAACATTCTTTAGCTCTTTGTAGCGCCTTTTTAATCTTAAAGTACATGTTCACCAGGTACAAAAATGACCCTCATTCAGCAGGCCTAATATCTACATGGCTCTCACATTCTCCATAAATGGTTCCAAACTCCTATAAGCGTAACTGAGAACAGAATCTTGTGGATTCTTTAGATGCTTCAGACTGGAATAAAATTTGGCTAGCAGCTATAAAATAATCCATCAACATTTTAGCCCTGGAAAATGCCTACAAAATATTATTCCAGTGGTATATGACTCTGGGGAGTGTGGCTACGTTTATACCCACAGCTCCCCCATTCTGTTTCAAAGGCTGACAGACACTGGGAACTTTACACCATAAAAGGTGGCAATGCCAAAAAATCCAAAAATGTTGGGTATATGTATACAATCTGATTTAAACTGTCCATAGTAATTCCCCACAGTCTCTGGGTAGCCCTAGTCCATAGACCTATCCACAACCTCACCACTACTGAACGGAAGCTAACAACCTTCATCTTTCTAGCTACTAGTCAAGAGCCAGACACAGCTCTCCATGAATCTCATGGAGGTAAAGCAGCAAAGAATGGACATTATGATTTACGAGAAAACTAACTTCTATACTCAACCATAACGACTCAGACAGTCTGAAAGTGTGGTACCCCTTGTCTACAGTACAATCGTTACCTGAACCTCGATCACTCATAACATTTTTTGCTTTGATAATTAAGCCCCACAAATTGGGAACATCCGGCTGGGCCCCTGAAACCTTCTCTATTCTTCCTGAGGGTTAAACCCTTCTACATAAATGCAGAGACTGCAACTTTTTTAATTACCCTGGAAGTGTATCAGCTGAAATCAACTAATCACTCCCATTCAACATCACTGTGCACAGGACATAGTCTAACAAAGAGCTATTCCTTCAGAACAAAAAGAGGTAGGAATCCTTGCAATGTACATTAATCACCCAGAGTGTAAATACTAGAGTATGGGGTCTTGTGATCTACTATGGTGTATACAAAATGCTAGTGAATTATTAAATGTTGAGTGATACCAAAATTGTTGTGAAACTAATACCATGGTGAAAATAAAAAAATTAAGATTGTGTACAAACTGTGAAAAAATGTGGTTCGCTTACACTCTACACAAACTCATACCATTGTGTTCTAGAAAATATTGTCAGATATAGTGTCATGCTTCACCTCCAATTAGAATAATAAAATTATGATTAAATTAATATTAAATAGAAATTAAAAATAAAATAAGTAATAGCCCAGCATCTATATATATATATATATATATATATATATATATATATATATATATATATATATATCTCTGCAATTATATTACTGCTGCCAAACTGTCCTTATTAGGTCCGTGACTTTGGAACTTCTGTGATATGAAATAAAAACCCTGCAGTCCACCAATCATAAAAAATCACCTTCACCGGTTGTGCTCTCACCTGGTGTATATGACCAAACTGTTAAGTGAGGTCATACAAAGCTTGTGTCCCTTTATTTGGACTTAGTGGTAAATGGATAGGATTATCCCTCTTTTTTTTCTTGGGATGGATGGACGGACGGACGGAGTGTTTCCCTTTTTTCAGCAGGGGGTCCCCTCGCTTCCTTATGGATTTTCTTGGAACCGAATGGATGGAGGGAAATATCCCTCTTCCCACTAGGGGGTCTCCTTGCTTCCTTAGGGATTTTCCTGGAACCAAATAGATGGACGGAATTATCCCTCTTCCCACTAGGGGGTCTCCTTGCTTCCTTAGGGATTTCTCTCCACAGATGTAATAGCCATGAAATGTGATAAAAAATTATATAGTGCCTTATCCTCTTTAAAATTAATTTATTAAATAAAGTGGTGCACTCAAAAGTACAACATGTTGCATTTTTTTGCACACACCTGTACTAGAATGCAGGAAACGCATCATAAACGCACCAGCACCCTAACGCACATGTCCCTATTTAAATTGAAGAAAAATAGAGGGAAAAAAAATGAACCAGAAAGCATAAAAAAAACAAACGAACGTGTCAAAAACACACCAAAAACGTGTCAAAAAAATGCATCTGGACTGCGTTTTTATAGTGTGAACCAGCCCTAAGTCAGCTATTGACATCAAGTTCACTGTTGTCTGTTATAAAACCCAAATGAAGCACTGAAACACACATTCTGGGTGCCACTAGTCTCTGTTTTAACTTCCCTCTTCTTCACTGCAGTTCTTTGTGAGACATACGCACTAATTGGATGCCTCTGTCTCACACAGGTCTTTTTTTGCAATACAGATATGCAGATCAAAAGTCAGTATTAATTACAACCTGGCTTAATTCTGGTAACATTGCATCTAACTGGGTGTACATTTGTATATTTTTTTTTTTTCTTTGTATGTTAAACTGGTGTTTGAGTGGTTTTACAGACGGTATTTTTTTTTTTTTTAATGTATTATGTTTGCTGACTAACGGATGTGTTTTGTAGGAGACATTTTGTGGATCTGAAGACGTTAAAGGAGCATTTCAAAACTAAAGTCCACAAAAAAAGGTAATGAGACTCTTAATTTATTACTGAGTGTAGTCTTCCATCTTTTTTCATGGGAACTTACCAGAGCCTCTGGATAACCTGATAACAGGTGTCTGAAGTCAATCAAGGGTGTCCTTCTTCCTTCCTGTAAACTAGGGAATGTTAAACCCAGAAGAAAAAATAACAATTTCATACTTGCTTACTTATGAACTGTTCCTTCCTTCTATGGGCAGGAACATCAATTCAGACAGTTTCCTGAATTTTTGAATTGGATAACAACTTCCTGCTTCCGCCAACAGTGAAGGAAAAGTGGCGAGCTTTAGTGGACACAGTCAGGATTTTGCATCACTGTGACTCTGACACACTAGTGACACTTTAATGACGTTTCATTAGCATTCTTGTAGCTAGTTCCACAACGGCATAGCCGTATAGAGTTGTGGACATGAATAAAGTCTTTTAGGCCACTTCTTAAAGCAGAGACTTGAGCATCCATAAAAGAGAAAGAAAGTTTCAAATAGAATAGCCTTCTGGCAAAAAAAATATGAAAAGTCCTACTTTAGAGTAATCCCATTTAACTTTTGGGGTTGTTTTTGGCTTCCGCCATGACTTCCTAAGCCAGCAAAGGGCAAACTACGGCCCGCGGGCCGTATACGGCCCGGCGGACCTTTTTAATCCGGCCCGCGGAGCGTGATAAAAAAAAAAAAAAAAAACAGCCAGGGCAGGCAAACATTGGCTGTCAGGATGTGTGTAGGCGGGGCAGCGTGATGAACGTGAGGGGAGCTAGGCAACACGGCGAGAGGAACGCGCGGAGCAAAGGTAAGTAAATTGACACAGGGGGGACTTGGTTTACTACTTGGGGGGGAATAGTACTATGAGGGATGAATTAATATGGGAGATGAATTAATATGGGGGATGAATTGCTATATGGGGGATGAATTGCTATATGGGGGATGAATTACTATATGGGGGATGAATTACTATATGGGGGATTAATTACTATGCTTGCTTCATCTACTCTTGGTCCGGCCCCCGGGTCCAATATATGAACCCATTGCGGCCCTCAAGTCAAAAAGTTTGCCCACCCCTGTCCTAAGCTATCAAGTATTTAATTTTGGATAGAGCAGGGAAAGGTTAGATACACTGTGTTAGGCAGGTAGTAATGTTTTTATCCCTGCTGCGGATTTGTTTTCCCCCCCACTTCTTGTCAGGGCAGGATAACAAGTGATGGGAAGTCCGTCCAATGGGGACAAAGACAAAATTTAGTTAATAAGTCAGAGGTAATTTAAAGAGATACTAGTTAAAGTGATTGTAAACCTTTTTTTTTTTTTTTTTTTTTTTTTTTCATTAAGATAACAATCTCATATTTAACCATTGCACAGAGCAGCCCCGATCCTCCTCTTCTGGGGTGCCCTGCTGGGTGCCAACCATAGGAGGCTGCTTCCTAATGTGGGCTCGCTACTGAGCCGAGCCACTTGCATCTATTCAGACACACAGCCTGGCTTTCTGCTCACTGGTTTTTACTGACAGCAGCAGAAGCCAGTGGCTCTTGCTGCTCCTTTGCCGAGCCTGAGGGAGGAGAGGGGAGAGATGCTGCTGCTGCGCACAGCGCTGGACCAAGAATGGGCTCAGATGATTATTTGGGGGGGGGGGGGTGTGTCCTGCAGGGGGAGCTGCATGGAAAAAGGTTTTTTACCTTGATGAATTTACAACCACACTCAGTATTCCTTTTGTTGTGTTTACTAAAGCCATTGGCCCCTTGCTTTTTAACCATTAACATATTCAGCATACAGAGACCTGTGACAGCATGTTTAGATTACTACATTCTAAAATGGGAGGTGTACTTAGCTGTGGGCACTGACACAAGAAAAGATCTCACTGTGGCTGTGATATTTCCATTTCAGGCTGAAGCAACTGAGAGACGAGCCGTATACTCAGGAGGAAGCAGAAAGAGCAGCGGGCATGGGCTCATACAGACCACCAAAACAAATTCAGGTCCAAACACAGGATGTAACAATGGAATAATTACTCCTTTGGTACCTTTCTTTGGAATTTTTATAGCTCCAATGGACACCGAGATCTTAAAGAGAATGACTTGCCTTCTGTATGCTGGTTAGAAAACATCCAGTTTTGGACTTTGCAGTTGCTAACAGTGACACCTTTTAAATTGTTCATATTTCATGTCTAGCCAGGACACTTTCATGCCCTGCAGAAAGGCTGAGCTAGTAAATACTTCCCACTAAATCTGTGTTAATGTTAACAAATTGTACATTTTGTCTGTGTCCTGAGACAAGTATGTAGCAAAGGAAATCAAAAGTCTTTAAAAATACTTTTTTCCATGTCAGTGACTCCAAGGCTCAAGTCACAAAGCTACAATATTTATTTTTTAAAAAATGTATATATATTGTGATGACCGAGCACATTAATATTTGAAAATTACAGTCCCATGATAACAATAAAGATCTTGTCCTGCATAAAATGCTGTGAATTGAGCTTAAAGTATTGAAGCCAAGCAACTTGATTTTTTTTTTAAGATGATAAACCATCATAGCCTTAATAATATCCTTGGTAAAGGTTTCCTTTAAGTTTATTGCTCAAAGTGAAATTTGTGTAAATCACTGCACAAAATTGGGTAATTTTGTGATATCTGTAACAAGTCTGCCAAATCACTGTACTAGTCAGTACATTATATAAAGAGAAAATATAACTAAATAAATGACAAGTAAAGCCATATTCAAACTGCTCATGTTTGCCTAGTGTGTGAAAAGCGGCTTCATGTATCCAGATTCTTCAGTTAGTCTGCAAGTCACAACACTGTTGTCAGCTGTGGATATCTAGTGTCCATGTTATATAACTAAATGACCTATTCTTTGTATGCTTGGAAATGAATATGCAGCTTGCCCTGGCATCCATAAACACGTCCGCTTGTCAGTCTCAATTATGTCTCTTCTCTCATCTTGCACGGATGCACAAATGTCACTGTAGTGTTTAACCTCCACACCGCCGTTCACACTGAAGTAAGGAACTGAAAATTGGTTTGTAATATATGGAGTGTATATACAGATGGTGTACCTTCTATAAGAAAAGGAACATATTCAAGATACTGTTGTAAAACTATTTATTTGTTGTCACACAAGGAAAAACAAGTGAGTGTGAACAAAAACGATTCAGATCGTTAAAGACTAGTGAAGCAAAGGAAGATTTCTTTCAAAATCACCTGTTTATATTAAATGAATACATCATATGTTAGAGACAAATGAGAAACATTCAGGTAAACGTGGATGTCTAATTCAACCTTTTATACAGTGATATAACTGAAACTGCTCATAGAAGAGAAAATATAACGTACATTGACAACTACCGTAAGTATGATATCTCTGAATTCTATTTGTGAAGCTGGGGAGAAAGATGGTTATATGGATTAAACCGTAATAAGAACATAAAGTGCTTGGGTGTATTCCTATATTACAATTAATAGTTACATAGTTAGTCTGGCTGAAAAAAAGACAAAAGTCCGTCCAGTTCAACCATTAAAAAAAAAAAAAAAAAAGACATCTTTTTCTCAGTTAAATGGTCATAGTGAATCATGATTAATTTAATTCGGTATATCTATTTTTCCTCTGCTTTGCCATTTTCAGATCATACAAGTCCTTTTATTTTTTTTTTTTACAGTTAGCAAGTCACTTGAACAACTTACAATATGCATACATAGATTTACCAATTGGCTGTCCACCATTTACATGTTGTAAACAAAAATACATAGTCTATATCAGTACCCTAAATGTCATATATTGTTCTGAATTGTAAAAACGCCAGAATGAGTTTCTGGTAAATAAGACATCTGTCTGTACTGGCCTATCAGAGATTATGGTTTGTCATCTGAAACAAGGAAAACTGTGTAAATTTAACTTATACATTCTCTATCCTCCATATACATTCTTTAGCACATTACCGTTTTCTTGTGGCACTTTCTTGATCTTCCCCACCAAAACTAGGAAGATATGAATCTAAAGCTATTCTCTATTTACATACATTATTGACCTTGTCTGCCTGGGATTGCATCCAGCAATTTCCTCTCTCCATCTTGCAGTAGTCTCATCTATGTTCATGTGAACCATGAAAGCTGGACTCTTGCATCATTTGACGGACACTGTAGTAGGATAGTCCAAGACCCATGAGGGCGAGAAAAAATGCCAGATGATTCACTAATCTGTCTTTGGGCTCTGAGGCCACTTCTCCAGATACCTGCAGCTGCAATAAATATGACCTGTTAAGACCTACATTAAAATGATTGCATATTCAAGTTATTTACATAGCTCAGTAATAAACTACTCAATACAACAAGAAAAAGTCTCATATAGAATCTCGCACATTTCTCATGAATGTATTAATCAGTTTTAGCTGATGTAACAATAACATCCTTTTCTCAATGTAAACTCTAATTGCTTGTATTTCTACTTATGAGAGCCAGAATGAACATTCTTTTATTAAAAACAAATATATCTATAACTGTGATACAACCAACCACGCAATCATAAGTAAATGTACCTGCAGTAGACGGAAATACCCAGGTGTGAGCCGTCCAAGGCGAATAATCATTGTGCATATACAGTCTGATACAATGGATTTTCAGCCCAAACAGATGGAAGGGTTATGTAAGCTGCAGAAAAATATATAATTTTACAAAAACAAGTATATTTCTGAATGCATAGTAGATTTTTTATCTTCCATGAGTCTTCCATTGAGATATATATATATATATATCACAAACAGAAAAATTCTTTAAAACGGAGTCATCAATTAGGACACCACACAATCTTTGAACATGCTCCCTCCCTAGTCCGTTCTATTGCTTCCCATAGAAAGCGCTGAAAATTGAGGCATTTTGCTTCCTATTGCTACAACTTGTCCACCATTTTTGCTAAGCTGTCTCCTTTTTTTTCCCCTTCTTTTCCTTCAGCCTTCCTGTTTAGAAACCCAAAATAAGTATTTCCCAGTTTCACCTTTTTTTTTTTGTGGAGCCAGGTGCCGTCTCTGATTATCGCTACAAAAGCAAAATGACGGGATATGTAGCCTTGCACTATTTATCTACTGATTTTAACCTCCCATCATTAGAACAAGTTCAGCATGGCCCCTCCCAAAAAAGAACAGCTGTCAGAAGAGATCAGACCAATGGGTTTTAAAACACAGCCAGAGGGGAGAACGGGGACAGAAGTGAATCTGGGTAAAACAGAGCAGAGACGAGGAAGGAAAAAAGACATTATTTTCCAACACTGTTAATACTTCAGAAACCTCAGTTACAATTATACATTCCATATTATGCTAACAAAAATGATATGGATGGATAACACTGCACAATATTTTCTGATAATTGAGAGCTATTATAATTTGAGGGAAAAATCTTTTTTCACATTTCTGAGCTGCTGGGTGCAAAAATGTGTTTTATCACCAATAACGAGCCAGCAGAAAATGAGGATGCTTCAAATAAGCAGGTCAGATCATTAGGACTCTAATCTCACAAAGAAAACAAAGTAATTCCTGTATGTAGTCCTCATGTCAGAAAAATTCAAAGTGATTATAATAAAAATAGGCAACTGGTTGAAAAATAGAAAAGTGTTTGGGCTGCCAAAATGAGCAGATTCCAGCTCCAATTGTTCCTGTCCACATAAGATATTGAAATCTAGTTGGTTTTTATTGCCAAATAACTCTTTTTAAATTAGATGAATCTTTGACCCATAAAGCAGAACAGGGGTGAGGTCTGGTGTGTTTATAATCTAAACCTGGACACTCTATAGGTAACCAGCTTTCTAATGTAACCTTTACGTGCAAAATACTTTTAATGGCCCTGTGGATCTATTATGCACTGAAATCAGGTGAGTAAACCTGTGTGGATTTTGCTATTAAACCAGTTCACAGTATAGCTTTAGAAGAATGCCAGAATTAAGCTGCTTCAGTAAGAGTGGCCTGATCTTCTTTCAGATTTGACCTGTCAGATCAACAATGTTACACCCAACGATGTAGCATGAGCCCTAACTTAAAGTGAACCTGTAGTCAGAAAATTAAGTTCTGCTAGATCGCTTCATGCTGATCCATTTTGCAGGTATAGTTATGTAAAACATTAGAAATAAGTGTCTATGCTTTTTAAAATCCAGTAATACACTGTCTCACCCTGCTCTGCACATGCTCAGTTGCTCTCTATTTTTTGGCACTGTGCCGAATTGATAAGAGGCCAGTCTGCTGACAGCTTAAAAATTTACTGCTGCTCAGGGGCTCTGGGCTTCTACAAAATGGCAGACTCCAGCAAGAAAAAGCAAGGGACAATGCTGGAGGCGATTTACAGTACAAACTAATTTTGGGAGCATAATTATTCATGAGGAATGTATGTTCCTTGCTAAAAAAAAAACATTATTTTGTAAGTTGTAATGGGTAAAGTTCCACTTTAAATAATATAAAAAAACTGTCCTCTTATGTAGACCTGCAAGCTATATAGCTGATTTACATTTTGTGCATCTGACACAGCAATTACAAAATCCAAGTGTATGTGGCCATTATAGCCCTTAACTGTTGTGCGGTGAAACCCTCTGGTTGTCAATGTGAGTGGTTATTAAATGTAAAAGTTCTGAATAAATAGTTTGACTGTAATGGCACCTATGTACATGAACTAAAGCCAAGTATAGGATTGATAGTGTTTAGTACTAGAACCACTTTCTGAAAATGGTAAAACCCTCTCTGCTGAATGCACTCAGTACTGTACTGATGCTGGAAATCTTTTAATCATCCACTGCACGTCACTAATCCTCCACATCATCCCTAGTTACCAAGCAGTATAGGTCATTGACATGAAATCACTCTCAATTTCACTAGAGAAGAGAAATCCAGAAACATATCTATAGGTTCAGGTAGAGATCTTCAGATATCCAGACTGAACCTACTGACAATTTTGTCTTCATTTGTGAAGTTGGGAGGGCTGTGATCTCCTAAACCAGACATCCACCATAATGGTTTGTTTTCTGTGCTTGCCTTTC